TATTATGTAAAAGTGACACTAATTTATTCTAACAGGATAATACAGAGGAAGCAAGCTTAACTGATTTCAAATGATTTTACATTTAAACTTTTGAAACAAGAAATACATGAAACTGAAGCAGAAGTATTCAAATTTTACTTACAAGAATTTTATATGATTTTATTTTGTTAAATGAACAACATCGTGATATTCTATAGGAAATCAAGTAAAACGACGTTAATATTTGATCATGTAGAATATTAAAATTGTTTGTTCTATTGAGATTAATACATTGTACGCTGAGTGAATATGTCTTTGAAAAACGCACCCTTATTTTTGCTTTGAGATTTCTGTAACATTCTAAAACTCAGAAGTTTTTTAATGGCTTTCAAATTGACTATTAATGAAATTTTTTGACAATCATGTGAAACGATAATAATTTTATATTTCTACTGTTTAAATTCATGTGTTTTAATGATTAAATATTTAAAAGTTCTATTTTGATTTTTTTTAAATGGTTTATTTCCCGCATTCCATTTATTTGTGCTTGTATTATTTCTTGAGAAACTTACGCATACTTTTTTTTCATTGCCGTTACTTCTTGATGTTACATCTCAGCTACTGTAAAAGTCCGAAATTAGCCCAAACCTCGATTTCTTCAGTAAATCGTGCAATTAACTGTAATGAATGTAGGTGGATTTCGTTTCAGGGTTCTATCAAATTGTTTCATTAAATCCTGCAGTTTGCCAACATTACATAGGAAAAATCCATTTTGTTTGACTGTGATTTTCTTCTTTTTAGTGTACGGTAGGTGAGTTAAACGTAATTTCAACTCAAGCTTGTAAGTTTTAAAGTATTCTAACAATTATTTACTTCAGACTATGTATGAAATTCAGTTTTTGTACGATACCTTTTATATTGACTCTTTAGAAAATCCTCCAAGAAGGCATCTCTTCCCACAGGCAGATTAGCCCTTGTAAGCTTTGCCATAATCAAACAAACCAAACTGAAATTAAAATATTAGTCCATATTTTGAATTATCATCGTTAACTGAAAGCAGTGTAAATGGAATAGGAAACTAACATAATACGCTTTTGTGAGATAAAACGTGTATTTTTGAAACTGTGCATTAATTAATTATAATAATTTGACTTTGTGTTTTGAAATTTTAGGGATTGGTATTCGTAAACACCGGCATTTAGAGAAATAATTTAGTAAAAGTGTAAAATGGGTTAGATTGGATTTTTTAGATTAGAGCATAAAGCACGCAAGGGTTATCCACCTTAAGGAAAGGGTATTTTCGCAGAGATTATTTTGAGGGAAATTGGCTTGTATTCATTTACATTACACATGGCAGAAATCCCGAAAATTCCAGCGGTTTCGTTGGGATTTGAGCCTGAATCGAAATATCAGTGTTCAGTGGTTTTGCTGCTCTGCCGCAGGTGCTCAAAATGGATGCATTTACATATATGTTTCTGACTTTAATCATCTCAGTATAGAATATGCAACAGATGAATCAGCAAAACCTTTCGAGCATTTACGATAATATTAACAACACTATATTTTAATTTACTTTTGCAACTTTCTTCAAAAGGGTCTTTAGCATCCTTGTTGATTTCGATTAGGTATCGCCCACCAGCGATGAGCGGTAAAATCGCTGAACGCTTCTACTTCGCCCCGCGTTTAAATCTTTGCGAATAGGTTGGCCAAATAGGAGGTCTTGCGGGTTTCCGCAAAGAGTCAGTTTCCTTAAAAAGTTCTCCCCGAATCCATCCCTCTTCTTAGATGAGGTAGCCCTTGCGTGGTTTGCCACGCATTAAAGTTTGTTAAGTACTGGTATGGGGAAACATTAATTGCAAAAATAGGCGATAAACACCCAACTGGAAAACCCTAAAAAAAATTACAACATTTAGTACTTTTCTTTAGATTATTAAGGGCTATATGATAATGTTAGAATGCAGTGATCATCCTGGTACTCCTTTAACTTATTTCTTTTAATAAGTATAAATATATGTCCACAAATGTATTCATGTTTTCTTCTGGTCAACTGTATTATGTTTACTTTCTTAAAGCACAACACGACTAAATTAAGAAAGCTCTACACACCAGGTGGGTGCATTCATTTTCATTTGTTTCATTTGTAACTCAGAAAATAAAACTATGGAAGCTAATACTGACAATATTAGTCGCAAGGCTGAACAAGCTTTTTCTTTGTTTAAGGCCATAATTCTTATAACTTTTACGTTCGCAAATAAAATGAGAATGTGCGAAAAATACAATTCACTGTATGAATTCTGAAACATTTCTTTATTTTAAAAACTTCTCATGTATGATGTGATAGATATTGTAATAAAAATTATAATGAATGTAATACAAATTTCCTCTTCTGTATCCTTGAAATTATATTAATGCAGTAAGCTAAATTAAATTAATAGCTGTGAAGTTGTTCCGAAGCGTTTTGAACTGAATTTTTTATTTTTTTTATTTAGAAACTATTAGTCCATTTGCGCTTTTGCAGCTGACGATGGTGGTTCGGTAAAACCATCGAAACTAGTTCTGTGAAAATTTGAAAATATACCTCTGATTTTTGTGGTTTGACTTCTGAATAACTATTAGTTTATTTGATGACTTTAATAAGCCCTAAAACTTAATAGAACTAATAAGCCATTTAAACAAAAAACTTTAAAAAATCATTTAAAGCAAGCATTCGGTATACTTTGGTAAGCTTGCAGTACTTTATAGTATAAGTAACACTTATAGTAAAAAAAAAAAAATCAGCGTATGCTGCTTGACTTCAGTTGCAGTCTTGTTCGGAAGCGGTATTATTTTGTACATATTTCAAGTGCCATTAACTGCTAAATCAAAGCTATGTATAGAGACTACATACTAGGAATATGACAAATTTCTTATAAGTGACTAGATGCCATAAATAATCTTTTTTTGGAAAACTTAAACATTTCATGTATGTTATAAATGACCGATAAAATACAACCATCTGAATTTATTCCGCTGTAGAGAGGTATTTAAAGAAAATTTATTGCACACTTGCATAGCAATAGAACCAGTAATTCGCAAAGCAAAAAAGATCTAGAATAATTTTCGTATTTTCAAAAAACGTATTTCGCTCAAATAAGAATATCATATGTGCCAAATGCTTCCACTGATACCTCATAAGTAGTGTGATAGATAAAGAATTTGGTTGTTACTTTTTTGATAAAAATTGAAATGTATGAAAATGATAATTCTAAAAAGTGTTTCAGTATTTTTATATTAAATGATTTAATGCTTAAATGATTTTCCCACGTAATACAGACAATTTAAGTTTAAAAATAAGTCAAAATAAATTATTCATTACTTACACATACACGATTCTGAAACAGTCGAATAGTAATTAAGGTTTATAATTTTGTGCACACTAGTGAGTTCATTATTTTAATTGCTGTTTCTGACGAATATCCTTTATTAAAATATTCACTTAATTCTGTAATTTTTATGTCATTATTTTTAAATAATAGTTTAAAATTTTTTAAAGAAGTAATTTATTAAAAATTTGGGATGATACGTAAGTAAGAGATATTTCGTAATTTCCTCCCTATATATATATTCGATATGCTTTGTAGTTTATTCGAAATGGTATGATTTGCCGAGCAACATTCTAAAAATATTTAAATTCTGATATTATTTTTTTGTGTGAAACGTTTCGTCAGAACCATCTTAAATGATTTGAAGCAAAGAAAATTATATCTTGAATTAATTTACAACCCCTTTTTTTCATTTTTAAATTCCTCAACTTTATTAGATATTAAAAATGCATTTTTCATGATCTTGAAATCATATGTTATAACAACGCGTCGCTTGATTTATTAAACGTGCCCTTTTTTAACAGCTTAATATTCTAAAAACTTTTAAGTTTTCTTAGTGTAATTGTCTATCTTTATTTTCAGAAATAATCCCAACAAAGAAATACTGTTTTCTGAAAACTTGTTTTTCTTTAGAAATATTAAAAAACTGCATAAGTAAGCTATATAAATTTACCTTATTGTTTTCTAATTTTATATTTAAAAGTGGCTATTATTACTATTTAAAAGTGGCTGCATATTTTACCTGGAAAATTTCATATTAAAATTTATTTCAATTATGAATTTAATTAATTGAATAATTTATTTCAATTGGGAATGTTTTTAATATTCCTTAAAATTTTAACATGCTTAAAAATATAAACCCACAACAAAGTGGTGGATGCAAGTATTATTCTTCTTAGAAAATCTTTAATATTAAATTGTACCGTAAATCATTTTTATTGATTATTATTGTTATTATGATTTTGCTTTGACATTAAACGCTACTAGGACACCAGCTGTAACCTAAAATCACATTGCGATTTCATATCATAGCTCAATATTTCTGTGTATACATACACTCTATGTATGTTAATAGCATTTTTGGCAGATTATTTTGACTCTAAATTAATATCATAAATATGACTTATATTTAAAATAGTTTGATCTTTACAGCTGTAAATGCTATTAGATACAAAATACACTTGCATTTACTTTGTGTAAGCCGAAATTATAATTATTAAAGAATTCAAGGCAATTTTTAGAGACTCATTGTATGTTATATTGATACTAATAATAACGTAAAAAAAGATTAGATAATCTATATATCTAGATATTTAAATTCATCTAACTATTTAGTTACTTGTCTTTTTGTATATATAAAGAACAATAAAATAGACATAGCATGCATATAATATATTATCTCATATGCTGATTTTATTTAAAGATCAAGATTTTCATAATTAACTTTCAGACTACATAATTAACTTTAAAATACAAATTAAATGTTTGAGAAAATTTGATTATTTGATAGTTCTGTCGTATTTTACAACAACAACAGCAGCAGTGATAATAATATACTTCATATTTTAATAACAATAATTATAGCCTTACTTGATAGATTTCTATTGTAAATGTTGTTCTTCATTTCATTTCGAAGAATGATTGCACGAAGAAAAGAAATAAAATGCAACATTTTTATTTCTAGCAACTTTTAAAGAATTTTGAATTTAATTAATTTTCACAGAAGAACTCTACTTGTTAAGAAATTACTTCTTGAGGCTGGCAAACTCAAGGCACTAATAGCACTGTAATCATATGCAAATGGATCAGTAAGTCCTTTTACCATGGTCTGAAATCCATAAGGTCTGAAGTAAGCATAACCTGGAGATAGTGGTGGCTGTATAAAATCATTATCGTAGAGGTATGACCATCTTGCTCCAAAACTCCAATCTTTGGCTTCTAGAGAGGTGGCAATCAGTGAAGAGTATTTCGCTACAATAGCAGTAGCTAACTGGTCAGCAGTCAAAACAGAAAAGTTGTCAGTTAAGACTCCAGCTACTGCAATGGCATCTGTTGTTGCCTTGGCTAGTGACAATATGTTTGGACCAAAGGTAGTATCGGGAGTGTTGGTGGCAAAGTTGCTGTAAGTGTCGATGAATACAGATGCAGCCTCAAAACCAAACTGTGCGGCAATGCCTTGTGCTATTAAATCTACAACCTTCTGCATTCCAACCATTGTGGTGGCCGTATACATCGCAGTAGAAAGACGCAGCTTTTCAGCTAAGATTATCGGCAGTACATCGATTACTGAAAGCACATCGTTATCTGCATCTGTTGAAATTCCAACGCCTACTCCTAAATCGGCTCCCAACCCCACATCTGCATTTACTCCTACGTCTACATCTGCATCTAACCCAACACCAACATCTACATTAGTATCCAGTCCGATATCAGCTCCAATATCAACATTAGCACCCAAATCAATATCAGTTCCAACATCAATATCAGCACCCAAATCAATGTTAGCTCCAACATCAGTGTTTAAATCGACATCAGCATCAATTCCAAGACCTGTTCCAGTATCTTTTTTCCTATCGTTATTATTGCGCGTTGCTCTTCTCTGTCTTCGACGGCCACGATCGCCCTTTGAACCTCCAAGTAGTTCAACATCTAAGTCAGTATCTAAATCTAAATCTGCATTTATGTCCAAAGCAGCATTTGCTCCAATATCTAATCCTGCGTTGAGACCTAAATCTGCATTAGCGCCGATATCTAATCCTAAATCTACATCTGCGTTCACGTCTACGCCTGCATTAACACCCACATCGGCATCAATGCCTAAGTCTGCGTCAACTCCAACTCCAACATCCGCTCCTACTCCAACATCTACCCCAACTCCTGCGTCAGCTGATATTCCTACTACTGCAGGCGGGATGACTCCTGCTAATGGAGTCATCAGTGACATTCCCATTAGTGATGGTATCTGCATTATGTCCCGATATGAGTAACGAGATCTTCTCGACACTGCTCTGATTACAGCATTGGCAGCTATAGCAGCTTGAACATTCGGATTTCCTGATACAAAGTAACCTAAGGCGTAAAGAGCTTTCGCTGTTGCTTGGGCTAAAATTTGAGCAGATGTTTTATAATCCAGTGTTTCTTTTGAAGACAATAAAGCTTTTGAATACATATCAATAAAGACAGATGGGTTAGAAGATCCAAAAGCTTCTGCAACGTAATTACCTAGCGTTATAGCTAACGTTTTATATGATGATACTGGTACACCTAATTGAAACGATTCGCAAAATCTACTTGCAGAAATCAAGTTCAAGTACAAAGCTTTTGAGAATCTAGAGCTGAATGCTGAAGCTTTCACAGCTTTTAATACTGGTGGAAATTTACGTGATATCGTATCTGGTCCAACGTATGGTAACATCTCTAAACCGCTCAGTGCGGAAAAGTAAGAATTATATGGATTACCATTTACACTTAAGCCAACTCCAGGTACTGTGGATGTTAATAGAAAGTTTTCAATCGCTGACACTACAGCTTTGGATGCTATAGATGCTTGAAGGTCTATTATGCTAGGTGTAAGTATGTCTACCGCGATCAAAATATTTCCTAAGTTAGCTGCAATGCTTTGTGCATATGACTCTACGGTTAACTGGTCTGTTTGTCCTGATACTGACAAATTTTTCTCTAATGATAAAAGATAGGAACGAGGAATTCTAAATGCTTTAGCAAGGAACTGAGTTATAACTGAAGAAACAGAATTAAGTACTGAAGGAGGTATAGCATCAGAAAAAATACTTCTAAAATACCTGTTTCGAAGAAGTCGCACAGCTAATCTTTCTTGGAAAATTTGGATAATATCAGATAAATCTAATGATATTAAATCATTATCTGAATTTCCAAGACCAAGTCCTACATCGACTCCTATGCCTATTCCTCCATTTCCATTATCATTTTGTGAATTTCCTATTCCAGCACCAAGATTTAATCCTACTCCTAGTCCCGAACTTCCTTTCCTTCCTTGTCCTCCTCCAGCGCCAAGATTCAATCCTACGCCTAGTCCCTTTCTATTATTCCTTCCTCCAGCGTCAAGATTCAATCCTACGCCTAGTCCCTTTCTAATATTCCTTCCTCCAGCGTCAAGATTCAATCCTACTCAAGATAGCTAGTCCCTTTCTCTATTCTCCTCCAGCGTCAAGATTCAATCCTACGCCTAGTCTTTCCTTCCGCCTCCTCCAGCACAAGATTCATCCTACGCTCCTTTCTATTTCCTCCTCCTCCAGCACCAAGATTCAATCCGAGTCCTAGCCCGTTTTCATTTTTCCTACCCTGCCCTCCCCCAGCATTAAGATTTAGTCCTATTCCTTTTCCCTTTCCACCATTCCTTCCCTGTTCTCCTCCGGCACCAAGATTCAATCCAAGTCCTATTCCAGCTTCATTGGTTTTCCATTGTCCTCCTCCGCCACCAACATTCAATCCTAATCCCACATTTGCTCCTGTTCCAGCATTAACGCCTAATCCTATTCCCTTTCCAGCGTCCAGTCCTAATCCTATCCCCAATCCAGGTTTTGTCTTCTGTCTTCCACCAGCATTCAGTCCAAGTCCTGTTCCAACATTCAATCCTAATCCTACTCCTGCTGCATCATTCAGCCCGAATCCCCGTGGTATTCCAACTCCAACTCCGGTGTCGAGGCCAGCTCCTAATGTGGTTCCGAGGTTTATACCTAATCCACCATCGACATTAACATCAGAATCGAGTCCCAGATCAAAGTTAAATCCGCCAACACTACCGAAGTTATCAAACGAAGGTCCTGCACTCAGATTTAAAGATAATGCGTTATCGATAATATTTGCAAGCCTACCTGCAAACGCCATAGGATTGTTTCCGCTTAATATATTATTAGTCAGCATAATCTGGAGAATCGAATCCGCTATTGCCGAAGCGTACTCTTCTGGTCCTGCTCCAGGATAAACAGAACTTAAGGTATTGGCAATAAAATTGATTACCGAACTAACATCTTGCAGTCTTAGCTCTAAAGCAATACCTTGGGCAATATTGCGTCCTACGTTGATAATGAAATCAGGCGTCGCCCTGCCATCAAATATGCTGCGGAATGCCATACTGTTCATGAGTTGGAAGTATAAGCTGTCCGAAAAGGCTGCAGCTGTATCTTGGGCATTGATACCTGCATCGATATTGAAACCATTCGTTCCGATGCTGATATCGACATAGTCCTGATCCTGAGAATCCCAGCTGTTGCCATACTGGTCAGGCGTCAAGATCGCCGGGATAATGGTTCTTGCCGATATACTCTGGATGCATATCAACCCGAAGAGCAAACTTAGCATTGCTAAGGAATTCGTCATTCCTGTTCAAGTTACTGAGAGATCTGATGTTTTCGACCAGTATACTCTGCTATATAAAGTCGTTCCTAGAGTAATTAATTCTATACTCTGCTTTAATGACATTTACACACACGCACAAATGACGGAAAATATTCCTTTTCTTCCCATCACGAAAGCTGATATTGTTGACATTATAGGCTTCCAGTCTCATGCCACGACGGTTCTTGTTTAAGCAGCTGTTTTATCCATAGTCGCGAAAAAATCTCAGTAATCATTTATGCCTTGCAGCTGGGGATAGTAAAGAAATAGAAATGAAAGCGCTTGAAAGTTTTATTGGGTAATTAATGATAATGAGATACTGTATAAAATGACTCATACATTTAATTTTTTTACTTAAATATTTGAATTTTTTTCTTTTAACTTATTAAGGTATAACACTGTTCTTGGAATTCCTTCACGCTATTTTTTTTGTGTAACTTCTGTAAATGTATTAATTTTACTTCGTTGGATGAATATTTTTCTACATCCACACTAAGGAAAAAACCACGCGGAGTGTTTGAAACAAAGCGCAAAATTAAATATATTTTAAATGCCTGGAAGTAAACTCATGGTTTCAGTCAAAGTAATGATGCAAATAAGCTAGACATTCAGAATACGATTTTTTTTTGGTTACATGAAATACTTTAGAATATATGAAATTTAATCTTTATATCGTTTGACTTTATATTGGTACTATATTGATCCTTATTATATAAGGTATTTCTCCCACTTCCATAACGTGCCTTCGTGGTGTAACGGTAGCACGCTGAGTCGGTATTCCAGAGGTCCGTGGTTCGATTCTCGGCGAAGGCGGTTGTGTATTTTTCACCTTTTCTGCTTCCAATTAACCTAATGCCTCTACAAGTGGCGCCCGAACTAAAAGGGTTGTGGATGATGATTCTCCGCACCCAGGATTTTTATTATATGCAGAGATTTCATATTTCGTAAAACTTAAAAAATTTTGATTAACAAACTCAATGATTTTAAGGCGAGCAATGGCAACACTGTACGAAAAAAAAAAAAAAAAAAAAAAAAAAAAAAAAAAAAAAAAAACACTTTTATCTCCAGCGCGCGAGACTGTGTATCGGAAATTCTAAAGATATTCTCATTTTAATATTATTTTACAATATTGCTGTTGAATAGAATTTTATGGTTTAAGTCCGAAAAACATGATATTTAATAAATAAAGGTAACGCAGAAAACGCCCCTTTGGGTGTATTGTAAAAGCTTTCAGATTTTTTTTAAAAAAATTTAAATTGTCTATGATTTCAATCTTTTTTGCCTCCTGATATCAGCTGTTTGCATTTAACAGATATGTTTCTTTCTTTAATATTTTTGTCAGTGGATCAGTTATTCTTGGTGGGAAGACTTAAACATTATTCTGATGACGAAAAGTTGGAGGAAATATTGAGTATCATCTTATCAGTAAGGAGCAGAATTTTTTGTGTCTTCCTACCCAAGACGTCATATTCGGCATAAAATTAAATAATTAATTATTTTCTTGCTTATCGGTGCAAGATTTCACATTTACAATCGATTAAAAATTAATTAAAAATTAATTAAAAATTAAATTTTGAGTCTTAACTTGTTTAGATAAAAATACTGTGTTTGGAAGAATAGAATGAGACAGATAAGTTGTGGAATAAAATAAATTAATAACCAATATAAACTGATTTTGGAAGTTTTGCTCGTCAGTTTATGTTCATAGTTTAGCGGAAGTTGCGGAAGTTACTTTATACTAGAAAAATAATTAATAAACATGATTTGAAAACTTTAGTTTTGCCTTGCTGTGAAATATACTGATATATATATATACATATAAATTTGTGCGGATATAATACAAAATCCTATCGATTTGGAAACGCTAGACTTTTTTCTTTTCTAAGGTTTCTTTTTTTTTTTCTGGCGTTTTATAACTGATCGGAATTATGGAAAGACCTTAAAGTCATTTGATGCTTTAAAAACATGCTGAGTTTCATTTCTAGACGATTGATGCGTTCGCCACAAAACTTAGTTTCATAAGCGCATGATGGTTCACATTTCTAATATCCATTGAACTATGGTATAAATTGTGCATCCCCCAATACAGGACATATACAGACACAAAACAAAATACCTCGAGTCAGAACTTTTTATATCTTTGCTACTGAATCATGATAAAATACCTATACGCTTGAACGTTCGATTTACTTTAATGCTATTCAGGTTATTGGTCAGTTATGCTCTTAAAAGCCCATTAAGGCATTTCAGGATATTTTTAATGACTTTTTCGTGCTTCATAATGGGAAGACTTTTTCGTCTGTTACTTTGAGCTTTATATCTTATGCCAGCTTCTGTGACTAGTGAATGGCTCATTAAAACGTTTTCAGTTGATGATTAAATATGTTATCTTACGTCCATGGAAAAATATTAATTGTTTGACCCAGAAGCAAAGAATAAAATTCTCGTTATAAAAATGATCATAATTCTGAGTTGTCAAGGCAAGGCTTTGTGACGCGAGAGATGCAGAATATCGCCTTTATGATTTTAGGATTCTAAGAAATGTGATTTTTGTTGACAGGTGTCTGGGAAAAAGCCAGAAATGCAAGCATCTTTGAATTTAAGAGCGTATTCGGCTGACAAATTAAAGATGATGGCGTAATAATTATTCATTTATAATCTTAGAATTCAGGAGACTTTTCGCTGACGCATTTTCAAACGATTTATTCACGAAGAATTCTATATAAATTCTCCCTATTTCTGAATTCTTTCTATTCAGAAAATCTCCCCGAAAGGTTTTCGTATTGGAAGAAACATCGAATTTCATGAACCACTGCATAATTATGCCCTTTCATAGAAGTGCCGGCACCTTTATTCAGCTCACTCATTATTCACCTAGGCAAAAAATTTCATGACGATGCTCTAAACGTAGCAATATCATGCAAGGAAAATTATCATTTTATTTAGTAAGGAAAAAAAAAAAAAAAAAAAAAAAAAAAAAACTAAAATCCTGATTATATAGTAACGTATAGGAATAACGGCGGCGGCACTTCTATCAGGATTAGTGAACACTGTTCGGTCTGCATAAAAGTACCAGCATTTTTATGAACTGCTCTGAAGATATTTTAGTATTACAGATAATATATATCGTGAAATAATGCTCTAAAAGTGTAAATCTCATCAGAACTGTCTCTTCGTTCTTCGTTTTTGAAAATGAATTTTGATTTTACTGTTTTGGATTGAACAATTATAACTAAATTTTTTCCTATTGAATACAAAGAGTTAAGATTCAGCATTTAATAATAGGAACCATTCTGACTCTGGCACAATTTACTAATGACATATCTTCTTTCAGATAAAAAAAAATCTCAGAAAATACTTTTTAGAAATTAGATGCAAGCCATTTGAGCCAGTAGAGGTTTTACCTCAACACATTAATCGTAGCGCATCTGTAATATATCGTTGTTGATATATACAATACAAATTTTGGGGAGTAAGTCTGTAAGATAACGCACTGGTATCCCGTACATTTGGTGTTCGCAGGGAAACCTCAGGCTGAAATAGTTCTTGTGATCTAGATTGGCTGGTCGACTGATTATGAGAAAATAGCCAAAGACTGTCTGTCTCATGAAAGCCAAATTAATTGACTAACATTTATACTACACAAGAAGAAAACAAAGCATCCTAACCAGAATATTCAGTGGTCTTATTCCTTCTGTAATTTATAAGCCTATCATGTTATGGGACGTATCAAGAATTAACGTTTTCCATACACCATCCTACTGAGAAAGTGATCACCAAGAAAGAGATACAGTTGCCATAATCTAAATGAGGGAGAACCCCATCTTATTGAAAAAATATTCCTTCGGAAAGTTGAAAAATAGCATATTCGGACAACATGTCCTTGTAATTTAGTCTTACACCGAGATTTTGATCAAATAAAAAGAAATTGGTATGAAAATTCTTAATTATTGTAACTTATTAATTACAAAATACTATGACGCACATCTTCCCTTTAAATAGCTTGTACATTTATAAAGTTTTAAGGCTATACTGGGCAGGAATTCTTGAATCAACAGTTTATCACCTGCAACTGAAATCTTTCTGTTCCTAGCTAGATATTTTCACCGCTACACCACAAGAGCAATTGGAAGAATGCTTTTAATTCTTTTCACTCCTGATTTCTGAAGATCAGAGAGATAGGAGGAATATTATTACGAATTTTGTACACACGTATATAATTTTAGAGAACTTGTCAACATTACTGTTCCTTTTAATTGCCTTTGGAAACATAACTGGAGTCCTGAGTAGGAACAGGGGAGTTTACTCAAAATTTTGTTCGTGCGTGTGTGTAAGATACGACAAAAAGGAGAAGGGTTAAAACTAACCTTTATTTCTCACAATGTACAGCCATTTCAGCACTTCGGCATACAAAGACCAGCACTTATGGTCTAAAACGTAAAAAATAAGAACTAAACTAAGCTAAATAAGAACTAAACTTAGATGCTTTACAGAGAGAAGTAACACGAAGATTGGCCTTTTTAACACTATGCATGTAGTGAGCGGAATGTAAAAGATTACAATACGTCTTCAAATATCAGGGAGGACTAAGTTCTGTCTTTACAAGGCAGACATGAACTGACTGAAAAGCACGCGCGTGGTATGGCAGCGAGAAGTCTGTCTCTCTCGGCTAAAAGCCACATATGTACTTTACACAGTTTGCAACCTCATTAGCATAAACAATTCTTTCGCGCTTATTCTGGTTGGAAATGGAAAATAAGAGAGAATAGCAAAGTTTTAAAATAAAATGTAAAATTTAAAATCCTTACAAACTTATATGTGAAACTGTAGTATCTTTCGTATAATTTAACGAAAAATGTCTGAAGTGAGGGACGTTCTGCAGGGAAAATAAGATGACAGGTACAAGTTTATTTAACAATGAGGTAAATAGCTTTCTCGCTATGTTGGCTAGCGATGGGCGACTAATTTTTGTCGCAAAATTAGGCCAGAAATCGCTCAAAGA